CCTCCGTCTGCCGCTGATCCTTCCGCTGATCCTGCTTGCCTCCTGGAATGCTCCCCGCGCCCCCTCCCTTTCCCTTTCTTCCCCGCTCGCTTCCGCTCCTTCTCGCTCGCCTCCTCCGCCAGCATCCTCCGCACGAACCGATCCGTCACCTGCAGGGGTGATGGTTGAGGGTGGGGTGAGGGGGTGGCGGGGGGAGGGTGAGTGGGGAGAGGGGAGTGGGTGGGACAAGGGCAGCGTTTGGGTGCAGCGCAAGCAGCAACGGAGATTCCCCCGCCGGCGTCTTCCGCACGAACCGATCCGTCACCTGCTCCGTCGCAGTGGGTGGAGCGAACCGGGGGGGGGGGGAGGGGGTGAAGAATGTAAAAGGGGCAGTGGCTGGGAAAAGGGCAGTGCAGGTGGCTTGTTGAGGTGAGGTTTGGTCCGAACCGAGGCCAGCATCTTCGGCACGAACCGATCTTTCTCCTGCTCCGTCGCAGTGGTCGGAGCGAGGGGAGTGGTGGGGCGAGGAGAGTGGGTAGCCGAAATGCGAGAGAACGCGACGAGCTTGACCTAATGGGAAGCGGTCAACGGATAGATTTATTCGACGAGGAATAAGGGAACGCACCTGAAGCGACGGTTGCGGTTGATCGGATCCCATGGCTACGTCGCGTTTTGCAGGAATGGCGGCGAGTCGGCGACGGCGTGCGAGCCGAAAAGGAGCTGATTTCAAGCTGAGAAAACGAATGAGGTCAAATTAGATTGAACACGGAACTTCATATTTCATCCAGACATCCAAACAATGGAATCTTTGCTCCACATCAAGCTGTGTAGAAGTGTTACTCGCCCCGCTGAGTCTGCTTTTAGACGGTGTGTTCTGGTTCAACTGACTTGGGCTCCGTGGTTGCGTGTCTCAGTTAGCAAAACCAGAATCATTCGCCATTGGGCCCGAACCGGATTCCCAAACGAGGAATCCCGTCTGACCATTTGTCAGTTTGACGTCTCACTGATGTCCTTTGGCATGGGCCAGCGAGCTTCAGCCGAGCCTGCGGCTCGGAGTAGCTTCTCAACTGCGATTGGGCGGAAGACGCATGGCATGGCAAGTGCCGGAAGTATAGCTTCTGAGCCATGGCTGTTTGGCCATGGCTGAGACTGCAGAGCGGGGAATGACGTCACATCTGAATGGCCATCAAGCAGTCCCTGGCTCCCTGCCTGAAGGAATAGCATGGCTGCTGGTTCTGCAGGGTGATCAGCATTTTGACTTGGCATTAGGGCATCCCTAAATGCATCAGATGACAGCTATGCTGAGCTAGAGACTAGGATCTCAGTTTTTAAGTACTAGACAGGTAGTGCATGAAGCTGTGACTCAGGGGTTGAGCACCAGGCTTATACGCTAACAAGGCGACTCGTATACAACTGCCTGATTAGTCACGATCCCTAGGCGTTGCAAGCCGCTCTACTGCTCTTTTGATGCTTCGGAACTGACGAGACTGGGGAGCGTGTCTAGGGCGATAGATCTGGTGAGACGCATCGTCAACTTCGTACTTTTCGGGGCCGTTTCAGCTTAAAGCCACTATGAGGCGCCGACAGTGGCGATCAGGAAACATGCTCCTCATTATATGACGTGTTTATGTCAGCGGTCCGTCGTGATCAGTAGACCCCGTGTGTAATCTCGTGCATCCCTTATCCATCAGCAACGTCATTACTGGCTCCTTCCATTACTCGAGTCCATCGTCATGAGCCCATGGGAACTCATGCTCCTCTCACCAGCTACCCCATACTAACTAGTTCCTTGGCAACGCAGTGGTTATAGTAGTTTTAGTAGCTTTGACAGAACGGAAAGTTAGGAATTTAGCTCGCGACCAGTTGCTCGGCAAACTCCCTAGGGATCGATCAAGATGGTTTTTCCGATCCTCAAGCTAGGCGCACTGGCGGTCAAGACAATGAGCAAGCCGCTAGCCAATGCAATAAAGCGGAGAGCCAAGAGCCACCCCAAGTTCCGGGGAACGATCATCAACTTCGCGCAGGTCGGTTCCGCCGTTCGTCCCGCAATCGTACCCCGAATCCAAGCTTGACGCTTGGCTTCGTGCCTCTCAGTTCTCCAGCAATTTCCTCATCTACGCTGTGTTTGTGCCTTCCCCGTTGGTACTGTATCTTGCTCTGCTCCTACCCCTTCATAGTGCCAGGTACTCCGTGCCTCAGAATTTTCGTCGTCCCTCTCGCTCGTTTCATGTGCAGAGTTATCATAAGATCAATGTGGGGTTACAGCGCCGGCTGTACGGTTACAGCACGAACGTGGACATCAAGCCGTTGATAGAGGAGAAAGCAGTGGAGACGGCAGCAGACCTCGTGGGCGAGCTTGTAGTCTTTGGGGTGAGTTTTCATTTGCGGGTCTTGGGTTAATCCTCGTACACTGGGTGTCGGTTTTGTATTACTGTGGGGTTGATGTAGAGCTTACGAGGTGGTTCGTCAGGAGAGCTGGAAAGAAAAGTTTCTGGAGGCTGAAGTTGCGGGACGGGTTTTGAAATGGCTGGGCCTTTCATGAAGTGCTGCTACAACTAGGGTTATTCCCTGTACGAAGTATGCTACATTGTGACTGGTGGGGTGGCCTTTTCTTTTCGCAGGCATGTTGCTGTTGTGTGAGCCTGGTTTGTTGTGGGTATCATCAATTGCCTCAATCCCTTACACCCTCACTAATTTTTCCTTCCCCAAAGGTTGCAGGTGGTGTTGTTGTAGCAGAGTACACAAGAAGCACAATATCAGATGCACGGAAGGAGGAGAAGAGGCGGCAAGAGAGGGAGGTGAGTGTCTAGCCAAACTGTAGGGTTAGGGCGGCTCTTTCACTTTTCCTTCACTTGCATACTTGTCTTCCACTTTCAATGAGTGCCATGTTGACATGGTCCTCCCTTTTGACAGAACCATGTTGAGGATCCAGCTGTGACTGTTGGCTTACCCCATCCCCAGGCTCTTCGTCAGAAGGACCTTGAGTTGGAGCGGGAGTTGCAGATGCTGAAGGCACGCCTAGATGCACTGGAGAATGCAGCGTCTGACAGCTGGCTTCCACGCATACTGAGAGGCGGCAGCACATTTTCATTGAGTGGAGGTGGCCGAGGCACGTCCAGTGTCCCCCAGACAACTAGTGGAAGTGGGGCAGGCGAGGGGGAGAAGGCAGAGGAGCACGAGCATGATGATGAGCATGTGTCTGATGAGGCACATGAGGAAGAGGTGGATCACGGTAAAGATAGTCATAAAAAGAAGTGATTCTGATGAAGGTGCAAATTTGGAGTGTTCTGCTGTCATTGGTAAGCTATTGGTGAATAATTGTGAACCAAACATGGCGGACCAGAAATACGGAGTAGATACAGAGTAGGTGCACAGTAGCCATGTATTAGCTTTGCTTCACGAGCTATTAAATCTACTAGTTGAAAACCTCATTTCCTTCCCATCTACATGCAAATCTCACGCATTGGATCAAGGCTGTGTATGGGCTCCATTCCACCAAATCTTCTCATGTTCCAAGATCATATACACTTCTTGCCCAGCCAACCGCCCATACATCCGAGGCCCACGCGCTATCTTCAGTTCCAATAGACAGGTTATACGGGCAACGGCCTGACGTGTGCAGACCCTCAAATCAGCCGCAATCTCAGGTGAAGATTGCGCCTACGAGAAACGTGCGCAGAGGTCAACAGACTCGAGACCGAAATTGGCTGCAGTACCGATATTCGCACAACAAACGGCGCACGCCACCCGTTTTTACAGCAACGCTGCCGAGGTGGTAACCCGGTTTTGATGTATAAACCGATTTGTTTCGAGAGCAGTTTGTGTCCGACACAGGAGGACCCGCTCAGAAAAACAAAATATGCAAGTGTAAATTTGAGTGAAATTTGAGCATACATCGTCATGCTGACCACGATTGTCAACGAGTGAGCGAGATGGCGGACAATGGCCTCGCGAGCCAAGTGAGTGTGTAATACTGTACAGCGGACCTGCTGCCAAATTGCACTGTTTCGCATGTCGTGACTTTGACAGCCTGGTCGTTGGAATCATGCCGGGCGTTTTTTCGAAGCTACCGAGTCATCCACCTGAGGTGCTGCCAAACCGAAGCCAATGGACGTCGCGCCGAGGCTGGGCTTCAACTGCCCAAACAAAAAATGTCGCTCTAGCCAGTGGGAAGTTCGTACGGGCCTCGAACCATTGCCTCGCCTTTGTTTGGCGGCCAGTATGTACAGAAGTTGCAGCTTGCGTCAGGGACTCCTGGTTTGGCTGACTGGGCTCGGCAGGCATCCCTACCACCTGACCGCATCACCAAAACCCATGGGTTGACGAAAAGCTTCGCCGTGAAGCTGAGCCAATCAGGGATGGCTCTTGCCAAGCAGTTCGCGTGGCAGGAACAAGGAACGGTAACACCGAACTGTTGCCTGTTGTTATCTGTCACACCGCTAGTCACCAATATGTACCACTGAAGGATGGGTCAGCCACCATCATCTGGGTGACGGAGTTGTGAGCTGATGGTCATGGGCCCCCCTGTTGTTGAAGAGCCGGGGCAAGTGGAATTCCCAAGGTTGCACTGAACACCTTTTTTCCCGGAACACTCAGCGCCAACCCACGCCGGAGAGTATCGGTAGTGCTGGTAACCCCTGGCAAACGATTGTAGCGGTTACTTCCACAGTAATTTTTCGGCCGCTAGCATCTTGTTCTGTTAGGTCTCAAGTGTCTTACTCGAGAGCCGCGAGGTTGTCATGAATTGCGAACACCTCGATGAAAATTTCGTCAGCGTTTCGCATAGAGCGTAAGGGTGATCTGGAGTCAAACGTTATGGAGTGTTCCGTGGAGGAGGTGTACTGGATGTTGTGATCAACGGTCTCCCTCCCAGCCCATGCGGAGTTGTGTATGTGTGTGAACTTGTGAGTGGCAGTGAAGGTTGAGTGGGATGCGGTAGGAGGAACAGGATCCCACTACACACAGCAGGTTGTGTGTGGGTCTTGATTGAAAGCTATGCTGGAGCTTGAGTCAGCCAGTCACCATGGGAGTTATATTGCAGTTTAGAGTCTGTTAGTTGAGCAACTTAGGGGGACGTGGTTTATATCAGCCCACAACCAACCATCGGGCATGCTCTTCCGCGTTCCGTGCCGGATCTCAAAGTCCCTCCATTGTCATTCTGTTGTCATTCGACCAGAAAGGTGGCCTGAAAATGCAGGTATCCGAAGCTGAGCCATTCTTATATTACAAACGGTCTCGTGCAGTTCCAGCATTTTTTGCTTCACATATTAGATTCTTAGAACACAATGCGTTAGAAGCTTAGCTTCTGCATTTGTTTATTTACACTCCTCGTCATTATCCTATTATTTAGCCAACAGCCAGCAGCCAGCAGCCAATGGCGATCTACAGCGACAAGCCTCTTTCCATTCGCATGGGCGAAGCAGCCATAGACGCGTTCAGCGGCGCGCAGCCAGTCTCGCAAGTCCTCCGCTACTACCCCGAGCACGAGATCGTCGCCATCAGCAACGCGCGCGACGCTCGCGACGAGTCCCCTCCTCCTCTCCCCCCAGACCATCTCCTACTCCCCGGCCGCTCCTACTTACTCGTTCCGAAGCTTAAGCCGAAACCGACCGGCGGCATTGGCGCTGCGGGACTGCGATTCCCGAAAAGTGCGTCGGTCGCCGCGGGAGAGACCCCTCGCGACGTGAGAGGCGGCGGAAATGGCGGCGGGATAGGCGGCGGGGAAGGCGGGGGGAACTACAGCAGCATGCAGCGCGCTCTACGGAAAGCCGGGTCGCAGGCTTTTGAGCGCGTGGATCCATCATCGCTATCTCCGACAGAGGTGAGTGTCGACAGGTTTTATCCCCGATAGAGGTGAGAGGGTACCTCGATAAAACTCACAGTGTAGGCGGAGCACGAAAATTAATGGATACCGCGTTTTCGTCTATGTTAGCATATCCGAAGCATAGGAAACAGAACCATACCTGGAAATGAGCACGTGTGAGCACGTGTGCGCACGTGTGACCACGTGTTAGCACGTGTTTGCACGTGTTTGCACCTAACTCGTGATGTGTGGAACACGGAAGCACTGACGAGTTTCGACGATGTAATCTCTACTGACGCACCCATTGTGCATGGTCGGAAAGCAATGCCAGAACCGAAGGCACGCAAGAACGAGGCGTCGATAGGCGATTGAAGTGATGGGGTCGAAACAGAGGGCTAGACGGAAAAGAAAGCACCAGAAGATCTAGAATGCGGCATCATTCTCTCACAGACGCGGCTGCTTAGAGGCAGGAAGGAAGAGAGGACGGATAGTAACCGCGCGCAGAAATCCGTGCCTTAAAGTGGACCTTCACACGCGCTTTCCCAATCCGCCTCAAACGCGGATGCGCAGTTGAGCTTCCCTACCCCCTTCCTTCCCCTTCCTCCCCCTTCCTCCCCCTTCCTCCCTCTTCCTCCCCCTTCCTCCCCCTTCCTCCCCCTTCCTTCCCATGCCGTCCCCTGCCGTCCCCTACCGTCCAGACACACATGCATTTCTAGAACTCTGAAGCCCTCGTTTCCCCCCTCCCCATTCCTTCTCCCTAACCCCCCCCCCCCGCGCGCTGTCTTCGTTTTCCCCATCCCCCGTGTTCTCTCCCCCTGCCTGTTCCCCCAGGACCCGCCTGCCCCTCGCCCTTTCAAGCCCGCGGCTCTCCAGTCCGGCCGCCCCCCGACCCCTCCCACTCACCGCTCCTGCTACAGCTTCTCCTCCTCCCCCTCCCATCCCCACCCCTCCTCCTCCCCTCCCTCACACCTCCCCTCCTCCTCCGCCTCGCCCCTCTCCCACCACCTCTCTGCTTCTGCCGGAAAGGACTCGGATTCAGGAGAAAAACCAGCAGAAGCAGCAGGTGCCTCAGGTGAAAACGCAGGGTCGGGGCTGGAGCCCTGGAATCAGCGCTCTGGTGGGGGTGGGGGACAGGCTGGGCTGTGGAGTGAGATCTCTGCTTTTGACGCGGCTCACAAGCAGGTGTCAGCCGCCGGGCAGGGTGGGCCATGGAGCCAGGTGTCTGCCGCCGGGCAGACTGACGTGTTTGTTGTGCGCCCTGCGTCGCCATCCGAGCACTCGTTGACAGGAGAGGAGTTGGACGGTCACGATGCTGGATCTCCAGGAAGGGATGGTCCTCAGCGGAGATCACAGCAGAAGTTGCAGCAGCAGGAGCAGAGTCAGAACCACAGTCAGAATCAGAATCATGAGAAACATGAGAATCAGGAGCAGCAGCAGCCGCAGCCCCATCGAGTGCTCGTCCCTGTCATCTTCCGCTCCCGCCGCGGCTCCTCCCTCCGCTTCCCCCGCTCCGCCTCCGCATCCGAAGCCATGGACGCCAGTTCCACCACCGCCACGACCACCGCCCAGCCCTCCGCCTCCCCACCTTCCCTCTCCCCCTTCCTCTCCCCCACCCATCCCTCATCCCACACAGACTCCCCGCTAACCGCCTCCTCCCCTTCGTCCGGAAACGCCAGGCTCTCTTCGAAGACGTCTTCTAAATCTTCCTCCATCCCCTCTAAGCAGCCCGCCTCTAAGCCGTCCTCTGAGTCCCCCCGGGAGCGCCACCGCGGCAGCTCCCTGCAGCGCAAGTTCTCCCGCACCACCAGCCTGGAAGGGGGAGGGGGAGGGGGAGGCTACGGCGTGGGGGGCGGAGGTGCAGGGGAAGGCAGTGCTGGGGGAGGTAGTACTGGGGGCGGCAGTACTGGGAAAGGAGGCGCTGAGAAAGGTGACGGCAGTGGAGATGTGAGGAGACGAGAGAGGTCAGCCATTCCTGGATCGGGCGCAACTGGGGCAGGCACAACTGGGGGAGGAGGCGCCGGCCCATATTCGTCCTCCTCCTTGCCTCCTGTCCCTTCTCCCTCCGCCTCCCCTCTCTCTCGCTCACTCCATGCCAGCCCCAACCCTAAAACCGGCCGCCCTTCGTCCCGAGAGGGTAGAGCTACGTCAGACCCCAACAACTTGCTAAGTGCTGCAGAAGCCACTGCGGCAGCTGCTGCTGGTGCTGGAGGTGGTGGTGGTTCTGGTACCAGCACTTACCGCCCAACCAGCCGCCCGTCTTCCCGAGAGGGGCGGTGTACCTCAGATCCCAACAACCTGCTGAGCGCCGCTGAAGCTGCTGCCGCTGCTGCTGCCGCCAGCACATACAGCAACAGCACTGGCTGCAGCAGTGGGGCGTTCTGCGGCACTGGCAGCAGCAGCAGCACCACTGGTACCACCAGCAGTAGCAGCAGCAGCAGGGGGGGTGGTAGGGTGCGCAGGGGAGCTCATGTGAACAGTGTGAGCTATGGAGGGGTGGGACTGGATGGGTCGGCTGGGGACGGGGATTACAGTCCGGATCTGTGCTTTGCGAACAGCACAGGCGGTAACCGCAACAGCGGCGGTGAGACCCTTGACCCTCTTCGGGCCTCACACAAGGCAGACAAGACCGAAGCGACAGACAAGGCGGATAAGGTGGATAAGCCCAGCAAGTCTAGCAAGGCAGAGAAGCCAATGAGGTCAGCAGGCAAGACAGAGGAGTCAGAGAAGTTTGACAAGTCAGGAAAGCCAAGCAAGGCAGGCCGGTCCGACAGCCAGAGGGCGCTCCTCCGTGCTGCGTCTCAGGGGAAGGAGATCGAGCGCGCTGCGTTTAGCTGCAGCCCTGAAGCCAGGCTGGGCGGGAGGAGCCACACGGAAGGGAGGGAGGAGACGAGAGAGCGGATGAGCGAGCGGAAAAAGGGGCGGGGGGGGAGTGTGGGTAGTGGTGGTGATTTGGGCAGCTGTAGCCCTGAAGCTAGGCTGGGGGGAAGGAGCCACACGGAAGGAAGGGAGGGGATGCGGGAGAGGGTGAAGGAGAGGATGAGAGAGAGGAGGGGGAGTGTGGGTGATGCCGATGGGTTGGGCAGCTTCAGCCCTGAAGCCAAGCTTGGGGGGAGGAGCCAAACCGAGGGGAGGGATGAGATGAGGGAGAGGCAGAGGGAGCGGATGAGAGAGAAGGGGGGAGTGGAGGGGGTTAGGTCACCCGGGCATCCAAAGCAGAAGCAGCGATCGCAGCCTCCGCCTCTGAAGTATGGGCATGACCCCCAGCAGCAACAGCAGTATAGTCATAGGCCTTCTGAGCAGCCACTGCAGCAGCAGCTGCAGGAGTGGCACTCTAGTCAAGAGGAGTCTGCAGACCACTGTTCACCTGGTGATGAGGAGGAGGAGGAGGAGGGGGAACCCACCCACATCATCTCACAACACGCAGGAGAGCCTCACCCAGATCAGCCTCCCTCATCTGCGGCCTGTGAGGACTGGAGCCGCAGCTACAGCCTCGCCCCTTCTCTTGGCGACTCCTATGGCAGCCCTGCTCCTCCCCATGCCCTACACCCCTCCTCTGCTTCTCACACCTTTGATGATGCTGCTGATGCTGCTGCTCATTCCGCTTGCCTTGATCCCTCCTTTGACGGTCTGCTCGCTCCAAACGCCGCCGACCCTTCCAGCATCGGGTATCAGTCGGAGCTTTCTGAACCACTTTCCAGCTTCCGGCTTGGTCCTGCCGACCCTGACCTTGCGAGCCCGAGGTTTGGTCCGGTGAAGAAGAAGGAGCATTCTTCTGGACCTGGGCACCAGGTCCGGCAGGAGGATTCCGAGCTGGGTAGCTCAGGTTCGGAACCAACAAGTCCGGATACTGCGAGTGAGAGTGAAAACGTCAGAGGCAGAAGCAGAAGCAGGAGGGGTGGGAGCAGTGGCGATAGTAGGAGCAGGAGCAGCAGCGGGAGCAGTGGTGATAGTGAGAGCAGAGAACTACGCGATGAACGAGAAAGTGATTACAGCAGGAAGGCTGGCAAAGAAAGGAGAAGCAGTGACTCCAACCCTGGTCGTACCAGCAGAGAGGGTGTGAAAACTCGGAGAAAGAGCATGGAAGGAGCAGCGGCTGCAGCTGTGGTCGAGTCTCAGGAGCAGCAGCCGAGCGTAAGTGCTGCGGCTGATGTCACTCTGGCCCTCTGGTGCCTAAGAGAGTCTCTTAGCATGCAGCAGCAGCAGGAGCAAGAGGAGAAACTCACCCGAGGAAGCAAGGGCGAAGGTACAACAGGAGGCGGGGGTGCTAGTGACGCCGGGGGGCAGAGCGGGCAGAGCAAGGGAGGGGAGGCGGATCGGAACAGGAGCCCTCTGAGAAGGTTTCTTGGCGCCTTGTCGCTCGATATCTCCGCAGCTGACGTCCCCTCTGTGGCCGCTGTTCCTGCCCCTTTTGGTGGCCTTTATGCCAGCGGCTTCCCCACTGACAGTGCCACAAAGGCGGAGGGTCGCAAGCAGGCACCTCTGGGGGAGGCTCGGGAGCAGATGAAGGGGCAGACGGGGGTGGAGGATGAGCAGCAGCAGCACCGGCAGCAGCAGCACAAGCATCAGCACCCGGCGCAGCAGCAGCACGTCCAGCAGCAGCAGCAGCAGCAGCAGCAGCAAGAGCAGCATCATGAGCAGCAGGAGGCGGGTCGAAACCGCAGCCCTATGCGTCGGCTTCTCCGTGCGCTCTCCATCGAAGCTTCCACTGAAGCTGCAGCTGTGGTCGCCGCTCTCCAGTCCTCCTCTGCCTCCTCTACTGCCCCCTCCACTACACCTCCCCCCTCCGCTCCCTCTGCCACCCGTGCATCCTTTCGCTACCCCCGATCCCAATCCCTCACCACCAAAACCGCCAGTAGCAACAGCAGCAGCACTGCTGCAGCTGCTGCTGCTGCTGTTGCTGGTCGTAGCGGTGGTGGTGGTGATGGTGGTGGCAGTGGTAACAGCGGTAATAGCAGCAGCAGCAGCAGCAGCAGCAGCAAGAGTCGAGGTGGTGGTGGTGGTCATAGTGGAAGCAGAAGCAGCAGCAGCAGTCACGGCCACAGTCGCAGCAGCAGTGCGATACTCAGCCTAGGAACCAGCAGCAGCAGCAGCAAGTTCAAGAGGAGCAAAGAGGAGAATGACGCTGAGCTAAAAGCAGCTCTCGAGGCCTTTAGGAAACGGGTGGAGATGCTAAGTGACACGTGCCACTTAACTTATGCTGCTAGTGTCGGTGTGCAAGGTTCGGGAGGAGGTGGAGGAAAGAAGGGGGGGACGTGGAAGCCTCGGCTTCCAGACGTGAAGGAGGTGGATGCTCCCAAGGGCTCTCTAGGGGCCTCATTGTCGTTTCATAGCGATAGGAGAAGGGCGTTGTCCGATCAGCTTTCGCAGTGGATCAAGTGAGGGGCGTGGAAGCCTAGACTTCCGGATGTGAAGGTGGTGGATGCTCCCAAGGATCCATAGCGGCTTCATTATCGTTTCATGGTGACAGAAGGGGGCGTTGTCCGATCAACTTTCTCAGTGGATCAAGGGAGATGTGGCAGTGAGGCATAACGATGGTATTTGTGAAAGGTAGCTTTGATACAAATGCGCTCTAAGCCGAATGTGTTCCCTCGGGTATGGTTTGATGCTATGCTTGCTGCAATGATAGCACTCCATAAAGATGGATGGACCTGCAGCTACGTATACCGTATTGAGCAGGTAGGGAATCTCATTTGTAAGGCACGCTTTGTTAAAGACTTTGAGGAAGAGTCATGTGTGGAGTTTGTTGTAAAATAGCGATATCTGGATGTTGTTCGTTTCATGACGTCGAAGTGGTCATAGCGAGGACATCAAAGTGCAGCACTTCTTGCGGAATGTCAGTCCACGTTTCGCGCGGTGACCACAAGTGCATGGCTCTGGCCTCGGGAATATCGGGCTCGGCGGCACTCTGATCTGTCCCTCAGCAGATTTCGCAACTACTTGGCGAGACAAATGTTTTCGCAAATCGCGTGTGTGTTTCCTTGCCGTGGAGCACTTGGACGAAATCCTGTACCGAGTTACCACACATGATAATCATCCTCATAGTTTCCAGAGTGTAGGAATGACGTGGCACAAAGAATCTGGATGTCTAGACTATGAACCACTAACCACCAGTCTATTTTAAACATTTCCAGATTAGAGGCTTCGCTTTGCTTATCCCTGTGTCTTTTGCTGTAGAGGCAAAAAGTGGTGGTCGGTTCTGTTAGATAGCTATAGCGGCACTGCCGCTGCCGGCTGCCGCTGCTCCTGTGCTCTCCGCCGCGTATTGATCTTATTCCGTTCGCCGTCGTGCGCGGTGCTCGTCGCTGGTCTTCCATAACACCATATCCCGTTTCCCCCGCGAGAATCCTCGATATGGAGTGCCTCGTTATCAGCTCATACGCGCTACCATGCAATGCAGCCGCTGCCAACTTTTCGACTCCTGTTCTTGCATCTAATGCCGTCGACGGCGCTTCTTCGCGGAACGTTCGCCCGGCATCTGCCATCCAACGTCATCACCCCCCTCTGCCACGTGTGCCCGCCAACCGAACGCCAGGACGCAGCTTGGGTGACGTCCGCGTCTTCGCTGGCCAGTAAGTGATTGTGTTGGCGACCCGTGGTTACAGATTCGCCAGGAATTCGTTAGCTGTTAGCTTCATTGCACCTATTATCACTGATCTCACTACCTGACATCTGGGTTAGTCTTTGATTGTCCAGCATTGGCTATTTCAGGCTCCAGCCCAGTTACTCTCAGGGTTGGCCTCTGGCTCGTAGGGTGAATTTCGGCCCGTTTTTCTCATCTTCCCTTCTTTTTATGCTCTTTTCATTTTTGGTGTACTCCCCCCATTCTATTCATAAGACTCTCCGCGGCACGGTTTGTCTCTTCATCTCTACATTCCAACTCCAGCCGTCGCGTACACTGTAACGCGTCTGCTGGTAGCGCGGATGGAACCGGGTCCAGCGACGACAAAGGGGAGGGGGAGGAGGGAGGGGAGGCGGGGGGGAATGGAGAACAGGGTAAGACAGATAAGAGAGCAGATGATGCTGTACCGAGTGAGCGCAAGGACAAACGCGAGGAGGCTATTTCCGAGGATCTTGTTAGCGAGGATGAAAACGCAGACATCGTGAGCAGCCTGGGCGATTGGCGGGAGTTCCGCGCGCGCCTGATCCGCGGGGAGGTCGGAGTAGCGGGGGAAGAGCCCGGTGCATCTGGATCCACGGACGGTGGAGATGCTTTGACAGGCAGCACATCAACGGCTGGAGATCTGCCAGGCTTGGAAGATGTAGCTGAAGCAGGACCAGGAGCATCAGCAGCAGCGGGGGGGGGAGCAGGAGGGGCGGCAGAAGGAGATGAGAGACGAGGCACTGTGCCCTCCCCACTCTCTCCCTCCTCCTCTCCTTCCTCCTCCTCCTCCCTCCCTAAGTCCTGGGCTCACCCCATAGCAGTTCCCGAGACTGGGTGTGTGCTTCTGGCGCATCCCAAGGCGTTTGGCGTGTCTCAGCAGTATTTCAACCGCGCTGTCATCTTCCTGCTCATGCACGGGTGAGCGAGAGTGAGAGAGGGAGGGAGTGAGGGAGGTGAGGAAGGGAGTGAGGGGGGGAGTGAGTGTATCCCTGGCTCATTACACACTCTATTCAGTGGATGGTTACGTGGGTTATGGTCTTTTTTTTACGTCCTCTCGTTCACATTATTGCCATGCGCTCGGTTCTCTCACCCCTTCCGTTTCTTTCTCTTCTCTCCCGTGTTTCCTCCGATTCCTCTCACAGTCCCCAAGGCACAGCAGGCGTGATTCTTAACAGGTACATCCCACCATCCCACCCCGTTCCTTCTCTTAACCTTCGCTGTCCTACCTCTGCCAACGTGGCACTGTTTCCCTTCCTGCTTTGGTTTTCTCTCTCCACTCAGTGTACTGCTTGTGAATCACATTCTCAATCCATTGTTCCATACATCCTTTACCTCGCCCTTTCAATATATTCTACCCTTCCCCCTCTCTGCCTTTCCCCATACACCCTTCGCACCTCTTTCCAATTATGGTTCGTTCCACACTTTTCCCTCTCCCGTTCTTCTATCTACCCCGGCAGACCCTCGCAGTACACGCTTGGGCAGCTTGCAGGTTTCGAGGAGCTCATGCCGGAATTTTCCGCCTGCCCGCTGTACCTGGGCGGGGACGTGGGGTCAACGTCCACGCACTGCCTGCACGGGGTGGCGGACCTAGTGGGGGGGGAGGGGGGCGCGAGAGAGGTGTGTCCGGGGGTGTATGTTGGCGGGTACTCGAGAATCAAGGAGCATGTGGGCAGTGGGAAGAGCAACAGCATGGACTACCGATGGTTCGCCAGATATGCAGGTGAGAGCAAGGGCGTGATTGCGTGTTTGCATGGGTGCATGGGTGCGTGGGTGCATGGGCGCATGGGTGCATGGGCGCATGGGTGCATGGGCACATGGGTGCATGGGCGCATGGATGCATGGGCGCATGGGCGCATGGGTGCATGGGCGCATGGGTGCATGGGTGCATGGGTGCATGGGTGCATAGGTGCAGAGCAGCAGGGTTGTGGCACCTGGCAGCTTGCTCCGCACACATTCCCTCCTCCTGCTCTCTCCCTGACATCATCCCCCCCTCCCCTTCCTCTTTTTCCTGTGCTTTTTCCTCCCCCTCCCTGACATTACTATCGTCCACTATCAGGCTGGGCTCCAAAGCAGTTGGAACGAGAGGTGGCAGTAGAAGTGGTACCTGGGTGCGTGCTCCGCTAACCTTCTCACCTCTTATCCAGCATCTCACGCCAACCTCCCCTCTCCCACTTCCTCTGGTTTCCACTTACTGTGACCTTTAATACCCCCAGGCTGGGCACCGGGGCAGTTGGAGCGAGAGGTGGCAGCTGGGGTCTGGTACCTGGGTGCTTGCTCCCCGGACCTTATTCTGCGGCACTCCTTGAGAGAATCGGATACTGTAGAGAGCAACAGCGACAGTAGCAGTAGCGAGATTGACAATATTGAGGCAGCAGGGGCGGATCCTCAGAGCAGCAGCAGCACGGCAGGTGGTGAGGGTGGGGGGAGGAGAGGGGGAGGGGTGGGTGTGAGTGGGAACACTGGGTTGTGGCGGGAGGTGATGGAGTTGATGGGTGGCGATTTTGCTCTCTTGTGTAAGCAGGCTGATGGAGAGTTGTAGGCTGGGATTGTTGCTGAACAATACTGGGATTGTGAGCAGTTGGTGTTCTTTATGTGACCCAAATACCAGTACATGAGACCTTAGATCGTGTCCAAAGTGCAATTCTGCCATCTGTTACCATCCGATCCGATGACAGCACGAATCGTGACCGTTATCTGTCCGTACGGGAATAGACAGACTAGACTCTGCCATCCGCTGCCATAACACTTGGGACTCGCTCTTATATTAGTGCACATTTGTTTGTGGGGCTGGGAACAAAGCAGATATTGCCTTTATTACCACAAATCATGTCAACCCATCGGAAACTTAGGGCCTACACTTTAGGTGAATCCAGCTCTAAAAACCAGGATTCCTCACCAGGGGATCTCTGGGGTTCCGCCCCCCCCATTGCCCTTGATCGACGGCTGCGAGCAAAACATGCTCTCATCGGGCGGTGCTGCGCTGAAGCCTCAGCGCCGGACTCCTGATTGGGGCATTGCCCCACCAATGAAGGGATTTCCCCGTAACAGACTGCCCTCGCAACACGCGGTCACTTTTCCCGTTGGACTTCTTCAGTGTGTGCCTTCACCATTTCGTCTTCGTTCGCGAACTCTTCGCAAGCAGTGCCGATTTCGCTTACGAAAAGCACCTCGTCGGGGAACAAGGCGTCGTCGTCATTAGCGAAAGAAGCGTCGTCCAGATCGTCAAGCCCGAGGTACACGTCGCAAATGCTCGCCACGGGTAACCGGTCGAGAGCGAAACTTCTTGCTCGTCGTTCAGGAACTTCGCCAAACTCTGACGACCAATCGTAGTGTTTGAACACTGGGCCAGACATTCGCGGTTCAGACGCCTGCTTGCTCAGGTAACGCGGGCAGGAAAACTCCGCTGTTCGCTGATTCTCTGCGCCGTTAAAGTCTACTCCGCTAACATACACACCGTTGTCACTGTATCTGGGTTCGGCTACTTCGATTTCTCCTCCAAGGCTGCTACTCTTCCCCTGCCTAACCCAGCACCAATCACGCAAGCCCGCCTCGTCTTGCTGCGCCTCGAAACGTCCAGCGTCTTGCGATCGTGAGCCTTCCTCTCGATGCCGCGAGTTGGCGAGCGACACGGTGCATGGCGTGCCGAGAGTGCACCCGAGAACGCGGGAGCGCATTTCACGGTAGCTTGCGGCTCCTGATGAAGGGTTGACCGTCGGAGACGGCGGCGATGACGTAAGACGGACGGCAATTTCTTCGAAGCGGCTCTGGTGACTTGGTGGCGGAATCGCCGTCGGCATTTCACTTTTAGACCGAACGTGGCGCTCACTGGTACGTTGCTGGTGAAGTGACACGTGGCTGAATTGCTCCGCGAGCCGCGCACATTGTGGAAATATCTCATCATAATTAATGTCCCACAGATTCAGCGGCCCCCCTTGCTCGGGCTCGTCTGACGTGGCAGGGGACTCGATCTTAAGCGGCTTCACACGTTGTCTGAAGGCGTCAAGGGAGCTTTGCCGATGAAGCGGCATGCTGGTGGCACGAGCTAGTGGGCCTACAGGTGGAATGCTGGTGGATTCGCAATGAGCAGCGGCCATGGAGAGAACAGATAAACGGCAGATGTACTATGATTTGATGTTGTAATTGAGTGATAGAAATGGATGCTGTGGGAGTGGCCCGAATTTGTTTGAATCAGGGGCTTGGACGATCAGCCGAGCTTGGCAATTGCCAAAAATATTTGTGTGATTGTCACTCCTGTACCATAATTTACCGTATCAAACCGTTTACAACCTCTTCTAGTTCTCTGCGTTGATGGTCAGTTGCCCCCTCCCCCCCCCCTCTTCCGCAGAACCGCAAATGTGCCATCAGACGACGAGAGTCCGAGGACACGGAGAGTCGGAGGACATTCCTTTCTTGCTGGCGAGGCTATCGTCTGTTTCTGACAGCTCCCCTAGCTGTTGGTGAGGTGACGCATGGTGGCAGGCGTGGTGGTTGCTTACACGTGAGACTGGCAGATGAACTGGGCGAGCTGGACAGAGTTTGAGCGCGGCAGTTTCTAGATAAGCTGACATGGCAGGAGATGTCGCCAACAGCAACATTTTGCTGCTGTTCTGCGTCAATTCCGTGTCATCGCAGCCCCAGGTGATCACTTCGCGGTGAGGACCGACAGGTGTGAAAACGATCTGTCGTATCAATCTCAGCCAAACTCGTCGCATGCTCGTCTGCGACGCCACGACGCGTGCGAAAGTGAAACCGCTATGGGCACTTTTCCTCGCGGAGATCGCGTGGTGTGTTTTTTAGGTGGGGGGATTGGTCTTGGCGTGGTGTTGACTCGTTCTGAGAGAATCGTTTGGATTTGTCGTTCACGACTGCCTGAACCACAGTGCGAAGGGACCAGCTGGAATGGCAATGTAACCGAAGGGCGGCCTGCTTTGCTTGGTCATCCATCATTCTGTCATCACCTGTGGAGGGTGGGTGTCGCCATGGGAGACGACATCATTGGCAGTTAGCTCATCTTGTCCCATAAGGCAGCCTTTAATTCATCATGTGGCCAGTTTCGAAGGAGAGGTGTGGCATGCAGGCCTAGCGACACACGCGCGCAAATGACAACCACCTCCCACCATCTCTTCGTCACGTGATTGGATGGTGTGGCGTGTAGCGGAACAGCAAAAAGCTGCCCAACAAGTGGGAAAAGGAGCGTGATAAAGTAGAAACAAATGATGCTGACGAAAGAGGCAGCTTGGCCAACCAGCGGCCATCATTCACAGCAAACCGAATAAATTGTGATAGTGACAGTACATATGCAATCCTTCAAGTGCCTTATGGCGCCATCAAACTACAGGGAATAACTATCATTTCCAGCTAATAGCTATAAACTCATCTTGCATGTCAGAAGTCTACATCGCCCAGCCTGCGACTAGCTAAAGATGGCTGGGCGAATTGGGGTACCACTAAGTGTCCATCTGTTGGTATAATCAAGTGGTGGCTTCTTTGAACTCCTGCTGGGGATGCACAGGAGGGGAACAGGGATGAACAGGAGGGGAAAGAAGCAAGTGGCAGCAGGGTTGCTTACCATGGGACAAGAAATTATAAAACTGAACTACGAAATTCCCAATGAAGATTTAGAATGCCATGTATGTATGACACCTAGCTTACATGTCCCGGATGATGCATGCGACGTAAATCAGTATACATGTAACAAGCACGCAAACACATCACCTCATCCGCTCCACTACCTCACCACACATGTGTACTCACCCTGGGGTGTGCATGTAGTTGCAGATCAACAGCTCCTGCGGGAAAGGAACAGGGGAGAGAGGATACACGAAAAACGGTGTTAGACGTCACCAGTCAGGCATAAGAAGGTGCTCGCATCTCACCACTGCCACATCAGCAACATTGTCCATCCATCACCTCACATTGACCTTCCCCCAACCCACCTCCCCCCCCCCCCCCCCCCACCTCCCACCCACTTCCCCTCCATTCCCCCCCACTCCCCCCACCCCCACTCCCTTCCTCCCTCCCCCACAGCATACAACGTGCTTCCTTACACCCCAAACACACCTGCTCTGCCATCCGCTCTCTGCATGCCTCCAGCTCAGCTCTCAAGGCTGCCACCTCGTTACAGCCACCAGCACTATTGTCACCAGTGGCGCTGTCACCAGCATCTGTATTGTCACCACCTGTTGCAGCAGATGCTGCTTGCTGCTGTGCCGCTCTCTCGACGAGGGCCTGAAGAGAATGGGGGGGGGATGGTGGGAGAGGAGGCAGGGAATACTTTTGAGTTGACTCAAAAGATATCGTCACCACCACTATTGTCACCACGTGCTGCAGCGGAGGCTGCTTGCTGCTGTGCCGCTCTCTCCACAAGGGCCTGAAGGGAGCATGGGGAGTGTGCAGGAGAGGAGGCAGGGAACGAGTCAATGGGGGTTGGACGGGAGCATGTGGGCAAGGGCGTGAGTAAGCATGCTTGGGAGAGGAGAAAGATATAAGTCCATGTGCCCGACATACATAGAGCTTAGTGGCTAGAGCAACTTGCGCTTTAGCGGACAACGCAATGATTGGGTGACAGCAAATAGCGGATGGTGTGACCCGGTCACTGCTTATGGTACATACTCGAAAGGTGGTGAGGATGTGTTGGTGCAGGTCCATGACGTGGGGACATGCCATGTTGGGCGGTACATACCGTGGCAGGTGGTGCATGCCACGACAGCTGGACAAGACATTGGCCATGCGTACTCGAATGGTGGTGAGGATGCGTTGGTGCAGGTCCATGACGTGCGGACATGCCATGTTGGGCGGTAGGGCGTAGACGTCCTGGTTGGGGGGGAGGCAGAGGAGGCAGGCAGGAAGGGAGGACGAGGTGAGGTGCCTGTCATGCCTCAACGCATGAGATGTTGGCCGGTAGGGTATAGACGTCCTGGTGGGATGAGTGGGAAGAAGAGAGGCTGAGGGAAGCATGAGGCGAGGTGCCTCAACGCATGCAGGTGGGGACATGCCCTGTTGGGTGGGAGGGCATAGGGGATGGGAAGGAGAAGATTTGGCAGGTGATCCGAGGAAATAGAAGGGGATAAGAGGGGGGTAGGAAGGGATAGGAGGGGATAGGAGGGGATAGGAGGGGATAGGAGGGGATAGGAGGGGATAGGAGGCGATAGGAGGGGATAGGAGGGGATAGGAGGGGATAGGAGGGGATAGGAGGCGATAGGAGGGGATAGGAGGGGGGAGGGAGGAGACTCACCATGCTCTCCTCCTCCTCGTCTTCCACCTCCTCCGCAGTCCCTGACCCACACTCACTCCCTCCATCCCCCTCCCCTTCCTCCCTTCCGCGTCCTCCCTCCTCTGCGCTCTTCTCATGGTCGCTTCCATTCCCCTCCCCTCCTCCACACTGTTTGCCCTCTGCTGCTGCATCACCACCCGCCTTAGAGGGCAGGCCCTTGCTGTACTCGTCAGTAACCGCCTGCAGATCCGTCTGGAGATACAGATTTCCAGAAACGTCGAGATTAAAACCAGGGAAGAAACAGGCAGGAAGGATGCGTTACAGGGCATCAATACATGGTGTGAGGATCCCCCGACTCCCTTTTCTAAGCATCACCCATGTGCTGTGTATTTTATTTTTGAGGCGCCTAAAAACTCCTATTCTAAGGATCGCCCATGTGGTGCATACAAATTACCTGCATGGAGCGAATGACGGCCATGAGCTGCTTGCTGTCCTCCCCCACCGCCCTCAGTTGTCTCTCATGCGCCTCCATCTGCCATAAGTAGGGGAGGGGGAATGCATAAGCTGCTTGCTGTCCTCCCCCACCGCCCTCAGTTGTCTCTCATGCGCAGCGGGAGAGAGAAATGCCGTAAGCAAGCAGCGGGAGAGAGAAATGCCGTAAGCAAAGCAGCGGGAGAGAGAAATGCCGTAAGCAAGCAGCGGGAGAGAGTAATGCCGTAAGCAAGCAGCGGGAGAGAGAAATGACGTAAGCAAGCAGCGGGAGAGAGAAATGACGTAAGCAAGCAACTGGAGAGAGAAATGCCGTAAGCAAGCAGCGGGAGAGAGAAATGCCATAAGCAAGCAGCGGGAGAGAGAAATGCCGTAAGCAAGCAGCAGGAGAGAGAAATGCCTTAAGCAAGCAGTGGGAGAGAGAAATGCCGTAAGCAAGGAACGGGAGACTTGCCGTAAGCAAGCAATGGAGCAAGCGTAGGTTGATGCACGGAGGGAGTGGGAGCAGTGCTGAGACTTGGAGATGGAAATGCCGTAACACCTATGCTGCTCTTGAACACACTCACCATGCGCTTATAGAAGTCACTCTCAGTCTTCTTCCCACCCCACGTGGCCCTCTGCTTGCCCTCTGACTGCGAGAAAAAGAGGATACAAGGGACAGGATAAAAGGGGCAGGATAAGAGGGGCAGGATAAAAGGGGCAGGATAAAAGGGGCAGGTTAAGAGGGGCATGATAAAACGGGCAGGATGAACGGGGCAGGATAAGAGGGGCAGGATTGAAGGAGCAGGTTTGAAGGGGCAGAATAAAAGGGGCAGGATATGCCAGGAGACAGGAAATAATAACCAGTCGGGGTTTCAAGCGTCAGAGAACGTTAACGAGGGCATCACCAGTCCTTTTTGTCGACCGACATGAACTTCAATACAAGCCACTCAATCCCGCTCAACACCTAAGACCGGCCACTGCTCAAGTCGGCCCAACTGCCATACCCGGGGGTTCAGGTTGATAATGTCGACGCCCGGCTGCCTGGTGGCGGTGCGCTTGGCTCCCAGGGATGACGCTAGCTTCTCCCATGCATGGAACTCCACACCACAGCAGAACAACGCACACCCCAGCACTGCAGCCCACCGCACTGCACCGCGCCCTATCGAACCTGGGGGTTGAGGTTGACAATGTCGACGCCTGGCTGCCGTGTGGCGGTGCGCTTGGCCCCCAGGGACGACGCTAGCTTCTCCTGCAGCTTCAAAAACTCCCGCTTCTCCTTTCGCAGCTCGAACGCCTGCTGCGCCTTCACTTGCTGCGCAGGAGCAATTGAAGGAGCAAGTGAGACAAAGTAGGAAGGAGATAGGAGATATGTGAGTGATGGAGGGGGCGTGCGCTTCATGAACTCTCGCTTCTCCTTGCGCAGCTCGAACGCCTGCTGCGCCCTCACTTGCTGCAGGGGCGGTGAACGGGAATGGAGAGGGAGGGATGGAGAGCAGTATGTGAGCGTTATTTTTGCAGGGTGTTTTTGAGAATTCTCAAAAACACCCTGCAAAATCAGGGGGAAGCTGAAGGCAGACAGGGTGTTTTTGAGAATTCTCAAACACACCCTGCGTTACAGGGGGCATGCACCACTTGCTGCAGTGCACGGGGTTGAACGGGAATAGAAAGGGAGGGATGGCGAGAAGTAAGTGAGCGTTACAGGGGGCAGGCAAACTCAGGAACTCCCTCTTCTCCTTGTTTTGAGGCGCCTCAGTTTTGAGGCGCCTCAAAACCAAACTCGGGAACTCCCTCTTCTCCTTGCGCAGCTCAAACGCAGCTCACTTGCCACAGGGGTGGACCAACAGTGCCAGACGTTAGTATTCTCAGCAGTAGGGGCGATTACAGTCGTGCTGACTCACGTGCAGGGCTTGCTGACTCCCCTGCAGCGCGTGCTGACTCACCTGCAGGGCGATGACGTGCTTGTTCAGCTCGTCCCTCTCCGCCTGCAGCTTCTTGATCTGCGCCTTGAACTCCGCCGCCGCCTTTTGCTCCTGACACACGCAGAGGACACGCAGATGACACGCAGATAGACACGCATATGACACGAACATGACACGCGCATGACACGCAGGAAATCGAGATGAGATAAGATAGCAACCCGGGGAACCGCATCCCCTTAGATGTCGGAACTAAGCTTGTGACTGGACTGCCACCTCACCTTTCCCCCACCAATCCCCACCCATCCACCCACCTCCCCCTTCCCTTACCACCTTCGCTTTCCCCCAACCCATCCCAACCCATCCCAACCCATCCCCACACCTGTGCTCTGAGCGACTGGATCTTTCGCCTAGCGACCTCCAGCTCGTCCTCTAGACGATCCGTGCGACTCTCCGCCGTCGCCAGGTCGCACATCAGGCGGTGTCGCTGCGTCGCCAGGTCGTCGCGCTGCTTCGCATCCGCCTGTCGCTGCTGCACCAGCTGGTATATGCAGTCGCACGCCGTCGCCATCGACGCCTGCGATCATTCGTGCGACATGCCATGAGTCATGAGCACAAAAGCAAATGGTGGCTGCTGGTAAAACGGTCTTAAATGCAGGCAAGGCGGCAAACAGCATCGTACCGTTGGAAAAACGGTTCCGGACTACCAACCCCAGGCGCAAAACTTTTTGTAACCTGCGAACGATAAGCATAAGAACAATCTACTGATATAACACGGGCTGTTCTTGCGCATTCTCTCTGTATACTCACCGCTTCATCGGATCGCAGTGCGAGGGTCGGTGGAAGACCGAGCAGTACTAATGACTCGTTCAGGTACGCGATACAGTGGTCGAGATTTTGCGTGTTAGCGAATCCATCTGACAGTTGTAAGGACTGCTCATCCTCCATGCTCGTCATCCCGAGCTCCGCTATCTGTCCGAATCCCGCCTGTTCTGATGATCAAGAAGAAGTAGATAGAGGAATAAATAGATCTTGGCCGCCTTATCGATCCGTAAGAAACGGTTCGAGGGCGCCTCCGTAAGATTGCTTGCGAAGTCTACTATTCAGTGACAGGGGAAATTCAGACAAGCAAAATCCTTCCCGTCGAAGCACTCACGTCCTTCTCCACAGCTTCAAGGCCGCAATAAATACTAGGTGGTGATAAGGCTCGACGACTGATATTCCGTTAACGACGGAGGCCGAGGGCAGAAATATATACTAGTATACTGTGCTGGGAAGGGGGTTGGTCTTATTTTCTTGGCTCCATCAGATTGCGTTTAACGTCGTTTGGTATGTTGCAGAACGGTTAAAAGTGCATGTTTCGCGTTTCTTTGAGGTTCAAGACGGTACGCGCCGACACGACGGCATTCCCAAGGTGGTGCTTACTAGTGGATGGAGTGTCAAGCGAGACTGCCCGGAGGTTGAATGAGTTCGACTGGTGGTGGGGAGTTCGATTCGCGTGTGTCAGACAGCCAAAGCGCCTTCTGTCAGAATGTGCTTCGGTGAACTGTAGCATTCGTTGCACAAGTGTACAGTTCACAGGGCCTTACAGAATGTGCTTCTGTACGGGCTAAAAAAAAAGTGCCTTGCATCTATTTTGTCTTGCACAGTTGGCGAACCGAAGTAACTGCCTTCTGGTCTCACTTCGCCGATTGGCGAAAACATCCCTCCGTGCAGGGACTCCAACCTGGTCGTAGAAATTCGCCCCCCTTCCTTCTCATCCCTGTCTACTAGCCCAAGAAATCTCCAACTCAAGCTGCTACAGTAAAGAGTGATTTGTTGGATTCGGAGTACAGGAAAAAAATAGCGAATGAAGAAGTGACTCCTCCGCCTTCCCACGTGTCCCATCATTCCGAAGCCGTGCGATGAGCGAAAGCTTCGACCGAAGAGCACCACGCGCGCGGCGCGTCTATGATACCACTTGCCCATTCTAGGGCTTGTCGGTATCTCCTCGCCGCTCGCATTCTGTGCTAGCAGTAAGCCGCAAATTCAGTCCACTCAGCAGTCACCTAGTACTGTAGTGAGCGCAGCAGCGCCGTTGCCCCGCCGTGTCAAGCGCGTTCTATACATACAGTCATACCATACATACGCTTCATGACATCCGTTTCGATTTCCGCTAAGAGCTTTCACTCTCTTGCCCGCTCGTGTCGTCGCGCCCCACATCTCCCGCGCGAATGCACTGTCCCCGCTATCGCTTCCAACGCGGTGCCCGTTGTTTCCGCCTCTTCCGCCGTTTCTCGCTCCGCCACCAGTTCCTCCCCGCGCTTCTTCCCCCGTTTCTCCCCGCATCCACCGCCATTCAGAGTACTCTCACAGCCCTCGCAAGCACACCGGACCTCGCTATTAGTAACAATCATGAGCCACCAGCAGCACCGCCGGCAGCACCACGACGGCCGGCAGACTGAAGGCGGCCGCCAGATTCAGCAAGATTCCTCCCAGCAGCAGCGGGAATCACTTCGACAGGCCGCCTTCCCCGTGTCTGTAGCTGACGGCCGCCGGTTCCACAACCTGCTAGCCGACTACGACCCCTCCCAGGGTGCTGTGGCGCGAGACGAACAGAGAGCCCGGGACATAGGGGTCCCAGGAGGAGGAGGAGGAGGAGGAGGAGTGACTGTAACGGGGGAAGGGCGGGGGGAGGAGTTCCGGGGGGAGGAGGGGAAGGGGGAGGAGGGGAAGGGGACTGCAGGTGCGCGGAGCTGGGTGGGTTTGTCAATGCCAGGTGTCAGGATGTCATTGGCTGTTCCGTCTGAGGAGGAGTTTCTTCGAGCGGGGCTGGAGCTGAAGGACCAGGTGGGGCTGTCTGTTGAGTCACTCAAAAGTCAATGGCTGAAGGACCAGGTGGGGCTGTCTGTTGAGTCACTCAAAAGTCAAGGGCTGAAGGACCAGGTGGGGCTGCATGGGGAGGTGAGCGAGCTGAAGAACCGTCATTGACTCTTCTCGTTCCATCCCCGTGCCTGATCGTCAACACATTGTTCCCCCTCTGGGACCCTGGAATCTCCTTTCGCCTCTGCGTCTCCTCACCCCACATGTGGCGGAATGTTGTCCGACCCATCAGATAGTTGCCGCCACATGGAGCAACGGAGCTCCTTCCCGCAGGGTGCGAGACCCCTTCCTCTATGTCGGGCTGCTGGGAACCGCATGGGTGTGCTTCAGAGCCTATCAGGCCACGGGGGATGCTGCTGACCTGACGCTCGCTGCTGACATCATCCGGGCTGCTGCTGACATGGCGGAACGCCATCGAACGTGGGTGCACTGTCTTTTGTCCATCCCTGTCGTCGTTTCCAGCTGCAGAGTAACCACTTAGCTCTGTTACTTCTCAAAACTTCTGCCAGCAACCCTGTTCCTTGTCCCTCGTCTTACTTATTTCGCCAACTCTTCCAAGAAGGCGGATTTAACCCACCCACTCTCTCACCCACCCATCCGCCCGCCTTTCTGCTGCATACCCTCCCTTCCCAATGCCCAGTGTTCTCCTACTCATCCCTCCTGATCCCTCCCCATTTCCCTCCCCCCCCCCCAAATGCCCACCAGCCATTACACCTTCTACTGCGGGCAACCGGGCATTCTAGCATTAGGAGCCGTCATTCACCATCATCTAGTCCAGCACAACCAGCAGCAACAGCAACAACAGCCCCAGCAATACCTCGAATCCAATCCCTACCTCCGCTCCTTCCTCCACCTCCTTACCTCCGCCCTGCCCGCCCTCTCCCTCCTCCCCTCGTCCCCCACCGACACGGCGCCAGCAACCGTCCCCCACGAGCTGCTGTACGGCAGAGCCGGCATGCTCTGGGCCATTCTCTTCCTGCGGAGTAACCTGCCAGTCGAATTAAGGAAGAAAGCCCTTCCTCTGGCACTTGCTCGCCCTATTGCCGCTGCCATTGTGGGCGCTGGCCGCTCTCTCGCATCGACCTACCATTATGGTAAGCCGTGTGTCAAGACACCGCAACACTAGTGCTGCTCCTGCCATTGCTTTCCTCCTGCCTGCTCGTGTTTGAGTGGCGGTGCTCCTGCCATGCTCCTCCTCTTATGCCAGCTTGATTCTAAAACTCCTCCCAACCACTTGCTGATATCCCTTTTTGCTTTCCCGCAGACGGTACTCCCCCGCCTCGCTACATGTATGAGTGGTACGACACACGGTACCTGGGGGCAGCACACGGGGTGGCAGGAATAGCGCATGTGCTGCTGCTGCTGCGGCAAGAGGAACTGGAGGAGGAGGAAGAGGCGGGTGCCACAGCGGAATCACCGGGCGTTTCGAGTGGCCAAACAGCGGAGGGGCCAGCAGGAGCAGCAGGAGGAGAAGGGGCGAGCATTCCCAGGGACAGAACGCTGGAGGAGGCAGCAGAAGCAGCGGTCTCAATGCTTGAGTACCTAGTTGCGAATCGCCTGCCATCTGGGAACTACGCTGCGAGTGACGCGGAGAGCAGGGTCGCTGCTGCTGCTGCTGCTGCGCTCAGGGAAGGGAGTGCAGGGAGAGGAGAGCCCAGGGAGGTGCGGGAGGCAGATCGGTTGGTGCACTGGTGCCATGGTGCTCCGGGTGTGGCACTGGCTCTTGCTCATGCTGTCATGGTGAGAGCCACTTCACATGCTGCCATGCTAAGACACACCTAGCCGACTCACATGCTGCATCCGTCGGTACATTGTTCTCATTTCCATCCCATCCCTTACCCCTCTCCTCTCCCCCTCCTCTGCAACAGCTTTACCCCTCCAAGCCACATCTCCTGCAGGCAGCCATCGAGGCGGGCGAGGTGGTCTGGCACCGGGCGTGACCGTGTAGAATCAGTGTCTGCCCTCCTGTGTTTCGGTTCTCATTCCCCTCCCATCTCTCCGTCCCTTCTTCTCTCCCCCTCCCTCCTCTGCAACAGCTTTACCCCTCCAAGCCACATCTCCTGCAGGCAGCCATCGAGGCGGGAGAGGTGGTTTGGCACCGGGGCTTGCTGCGCAGGGTCGGTCTCTGCCACGGCATCAGCGGCAACGCCTACACCTTCCTGGCTCTCCACCGAGCCACAACCGCAGGCTTGGCAGCAGTCCCAGCCACATGTTTGGTAACAGCTGCTGCCAAAAGCACAGTAGCTCCTCCTCCTGCCACGTCAGCAGTGATGACACGTCACCTGCACAGGGCACAGGCGTTTGCCGGGTTTCTCCATGCCAAATGGCGCCAGCTGGCAGAGGCAGGGACGCTGCACTGTGGGGACCACCGATACTCCCTCATGGAAGGCCTGGGTGGTCCAGCTTGTCTGTTTCTGGACATGAGCCGGCCCAACGAAGCACGGTTTCCTGGGTACGAGTTGTAGATCTGATCTCAGCTCACATATGTTCCCTCCTGCTTGGATTTGACTCTTGAAAGTAGCTCGAAAGGCCTTGTGGGTAGATGATTGCTTGTACAGGGGCATAGTGAGTGGATGACGCCATGCAGTGGAATACTATGTATGTCCTCCCCAGGTTTCTCCTCCTGGCTTGAACACTGAAGACACTCCAGAGGAGAGTAACTGTGGCAAGTCAGATATAGCAGCTGTCAGGAGAGAGAATCTCTTATGCATGAAGAGATGAATAAAGCATTCCGCATGCTTGCTTACACTCAGGATGGGAGGTACTTCGCACCACGTCCCATTCACCAGTTCAGGGGAAAGGGAGGAATGACTTGCAGCAACGCCCCTCTCTACAACCCCCGCACCTGCTCAGGCTGTGACTGGAAGGGCGTCACCGGCTGTGAACTACTGTGAACGGCTGCGGCCCTCCAGTGTGTACCTCGACTGTGACTTAGTATGACTTCTGTTCCACCCATACTAAGTCACAACTCACGCTTGCTCAGGCCGTGACTGGACGGGCATGACGAGGGGGCTCTTCCTGTCCTTGGGAGGAGAGTCACCGCATCACGCCCTCTCCTAAACAGTTCTTCACTTGCTGCAGCGCACCTTCCCCAACTACCCCCCACTTTAGCAGCAGCCCCACGCCCTCACTCCCATCCGCCTAGCTGAACGTCTTCGCCAGAGGGGGGGTCCTGCCCAGGACCCAGGTGCGTCCCTAATTCCATGGCCCCGCCACAGCTGCCGCTCACGTGTGGCCCAGCTTCCCCATCACTTGAAGCAGCGCAGCCACATCCCACGCTCTCAGTGCCATCCAGCTGCCTAAACATCTTCACCAGAGAGTGGTCCTCAGAGTCCCTCTGGTGCGCACATACGGTAGCCCCATGACCCCATCGCACCTTCCCTTCCCCTCACGCTTGGCCCAGCTCCAGCATCATTTGTTGCAGAGCCGCAACGGGCAGCACCAGTCCCACGCTCTCAGTGCCATCCGGCTGCCTAAATATCTTCACCAGAGCGTGGTCCTCGAACTCCCTCAGGTGCGCTCGCAGCGTTACCTCGCTGGTAACCAGAAAACGGGCGCGGCAGAGAGAGTAGAGCTGGGCGAACGGGAGGGCTGGTAAACGTGGAAAGGGAGAGGGAGGGGAGGGAAGGGGGAGGGGGAAAGGGAGGGAGGGATGAAAAGGGGAATTGTTCTCGAGTTGAGTATTGAAAAGCACTGTTACCTTGCCAGTTACCATGTGGGCTGATGCAAGAGAGAGAGAGTAGAGAAGCACAAAGAGAAGGGCTGGTAGAATCTCAGAACGAAGGGGAGACTGTATGAGCAGGGAGACAACTGACCCTGAGGCTGGTTCCGCTGGCTTGACTCAGCAACTTCATCCGCCCTATCCCCACCGCCACCAGCATCGCTACCACTACCACCACCAACACCACCACCACCAATCCCCCTGCTTCTGGAATCAGCAGCGTCAGCGGGCAGAAACGGCCGGGAGATGAGGGTGAATATCTGGCAGGCATTGGGCGGCAGGCTGCGGAGGACCAACAGGGCGGCCTGAGCGGCAGCAGAGGCGGAGGGCGCGTGGGAGAGGGAGGCTTGGGCGAAGGCGGAGGATTCATTGGTGTAGGCGCCGCGTGTCATGACGTGATGGGTGGAGAAGTTGAAGAGGGAGAGGGTCTGGCGGTCGAATACTGCGACGGGGGGCATTTGGGAAAGGTGACACATGATGCATATGCAAAAGAACATTGGGTAAGTCACAAGAAGCATGGGTGGAAAGTCGGAAGTCCCAAAGGAGAGGGCGTAAGGTGGGACGAAAGAGAAGGAGTGAGGGACATCCACAAGCGAGCATGGGGGGTGCTTTTGAGTTGACTCAAAAGCGGATGGAGGAGTGGGAGGAGTGAGGGACATGCAGAAGCGAGGATGGGGGTTGTATCTCTTAATCAACTCAACAGTATTTCACAAGATAGACTCTCAGCTCACATGCTGATGCGAGCACATGGTCGACAAAGGCGAGGTGAGTGATGGCATGGCAGGGCAGGCAGCAAAGAGGGCGCAGCTCAGGGAGTGCGAAGGCATGGGAGATGTGGCAAGCATTGAGGTCAAGCAACTCACATGCAGAGGAGAGCACGTGGTCGACGGAGGCGATGAGGGCAATGGCAGGGCAGGCAGCAAGGAGAGCGAGCAGGGCGACGCAGTCAGGTGAAGCTCTCAGGGGGGGCGCATCCAGATTGTGCACCACAACGCACAGCCACGGGCTGCCTTCCCTGTTGCGCTTGTCCTCCCCTCCACGCGCTTTCTGTTGCTGCTTTGGTGTCGGATGCAGCTTGCGGTGCTGCTGCTGCTTCTCTGTCACTAGATCCGCAGTCCATCTTGCCAGCTCAGCAGCGGACGTTGATGACGTAGCAGGCCCCTTTCGGACTTTGACTGATGTGTCGGATTGACAAGAGGAGGCAATGGTAGCGGCTATCTGGAAATGACACACCAACATGCATGTGCGTGCATTGACATACACGTCATGTATAGACAAGCATGTATGTCCATGCCACCATCCATACCACAGCATGCATGGATTCATGAACATGCGTTGACATGCCAAATGCGGTCCAATGATCAGTCAAGTCATCAACTGCATGAAACGCTCATTCTGCTTGTTGGAACACGCAGAGCACACACAAGACAAGAGCGCCGAGTAGAAATCAGACCAAGGCACAATGAAAAGACACCAGGAGTGCAAGCAGGCACATTGAATGGCACATTGAATGGCACATTGAATGACACATTGAATGGCACATTGAATGGCACATTGAATGGCACATTGAATGGCACATTGAATGGCACATCGAATGGCACATCGAATGGCACATTGAATGGCACATTGAATGGCAATTTGAATGGCACATTGAATGGCCCATTGAATGGCACATTGACTGAAGACATTCAAACATGCGGCGCACATCGCCTTTCTGAGCTGACTGGAGCCGACTGGATTCGGCTGGAGTCGGGGAGTCTGTCCATACCCTGAATGCAAGGATCAGCAGAGTGGAAGCATACCCGTGCAGGGGAGGTGTTGGTGTCGGCGCCATTGACAGTCACCACTGCCTTGTCCGCTTTTTGAGGCGCATAAAAGATTGACCGTTTTTTTAGGCGCCTCAAAAATAGACTCCTCACGAGTGGAGTGGAAGCATACCCGTGCAGGGGAGGTGTTGGTGTCGGCGCCATTGACAGTCACCACTGTCTTGTCCGCTAGGCATTCCGTCGCGAATGCTGTCAGCAACGCGTTCTTGGAGCCGAGGCCGAAGAATAATAGCGAGAATCCGTCCCTGGATCGAGAAACAGAAACGGCTAGGTCAGCCGTTGGACAATCTCACGATGGCGGCATGGGAGGCTCGTGGCTTTGCACCAAGCGACTGGTCGGATAGATCCAGGGAACAGTACGATAAGACTCAGTCCAAACTTTTGCAGGGTGTTTTTTTAGAATTCTAAAAAACACCCTGCAAAATCGTGGCTTTGCACCAAGCGACTGATCGGATGACAGATTCAGGGAACAGTACGATAAGACTCAGTCCAAACTTCACGAACCTACATCAAACTAGATGACATGTGACTACGAATTTGCTAATCGTAAAGCTCATACGGCAACAATAACAAATACGCATGCGGCTAAGAGATTAGCGAAACGCGACTCACTCCAGCTGCTGCTTCCAGAGCGGGAACTGCACCCGTAACTGATTTCTGAGTCGACTCAAAGTTTAGCTAAACGCGACTCACTCGAGTTGCTGCTTCCAGTGCGCGAACTGAACCCGTAACCCCCCGATGCTCTCACGCTCAATGGCCGTCCGATCTTCCTGATTGCGAATCTGAGCTACTGGATCAACGTCCATGATATCGGAGCTCTCAGGAAGAAATATAGTAATGAATCTTAGGAGCTGAATCAACGTCCATCGTTCCGTTGAGAACGGACCAGATTCATCCTCAGAACCTTCTCACATTCATCGCCTTTCACATTCATCGTCACTATAGTGAAATGCTCTATGAGTCGCATGGAGGCGCTAGGCGTGGATCGAGAAAGCCATTATCCTAACGCACAGCCAGGCTACCACCCCAAAAGGTGACGGAAAGAATGGAGCGATGACGATCAGTGAAGTTTGTAGTCAATGATCAGTGAAGATCACGCAGGTATCCATGGCCTACACCTTGAGTTGGGGTTGTCAGCACTAAAATCCAACTCTCGACTTGCTATTACGCGCAAGCTCGTAAATTCTCAACAACCGTCTTACAAGCCCATGATAATATTCCAGGTACAAAGCATTCTACAAACGTCATCTAATCCAAAATGTAAGGGCATATTCCTATGAAGTAGGATCCATCTAAAGTAGGATCTAGCCTTGTTGGAGCTGGCTCTACGCTATATTGCAACGGGGATCTACCAAACCCCCTTTATGCGACAACTCATGCAGCACAGCGATTGGCTCTGCGAAAAAACAGCTCTGCTACCGTAACATTGTTGCGTTGAAAGACCGTAATTGGCGGCCATCTGCCAGTTTCTAAGGGCACGCCAATTAGTCAACAGCAACCAAATAACGAGGGCGATTGTGATACACAGAACGAGCAGCGAAATAAGCGCCAACTTACGACAGTACGGTACTTCCTTTTGCTCATCGTGGTTTGTTTCCGTGGCATACCTTTTCTTGTGGTGCTGTAGTTTATCGACTCGGGGAGGCGGGCTGCCCCTGGCTTGCAGTGTAGGCATTTCACGAACAGGGGGGCTGCGTGGCCAGCCTGCTTGGCTAACACATTGGATAAGCTGTCATTTGTCGCATCATGCGGCTGTTTGGTATTTGCGACGGATAAGTTTTGGGTTAGATCTTACATGCCGTAAAACAGCAGGATCAGACTGGGATCTGCCCCCAATGGATCCTACTTTGGTGTAGATCCTACTTTGGTGTAGATCCTACTTCGTAGGAATACGGCCTAATAAGGTGCAAAAATGTATTTTAAATAGAAAGATGGATGTACATTGCGAATTTCAGCACCTCAGTATACCATTAAAAATCTTATTGCAACAGCAGGGCATCATTTCCCATTGAAGCAATTCCAACACTAATGATGCCACTGAGGTGCTGCACAAGTAAGTGCTGCTCATTGTAACTCACCCCACCCCATATTTTTCATTTTGTTATGCGCCCGGTATGGTCACCCACATCACATGTCAAAACCGACCAGACACATTTGATACACACCACAGCATTCCAGAGCATGACACTAGTATGTCAACATATTGTTATATATTATTATAGGCTAGATAGGTGCATGCTATAGAAAGTACAACACATAGCACAAAACTACCCTATACTACCCATTCTAGTTCACTTCGTTATCTTGAGATGGTATCACGCTAGGCTAGGTCCTCTTCGTCCACCCGCGCTTCCGCCTTAGCCCTAGTCCTAGCCCTAGTCTTAGCTCTAGTCCTAGCCCTAGCCCCTGCCCTAGCCTGTAGGCCCCGCTCGTTGCCCCGCGCTCACTGGCCCGTGCTCGTAGCCCCCGTTCATCGCCCCGCGCCCATAGGCCCGCGCTCGTCGCCTCGCGCTCGCTGGCCCCGCTCGTCGCCTCTCGCTCGTTGCCCCGCGCTCGCTGGCCCGTGCTCGTCGCCCCATGCTTGATGGCCCCGCGCTCGCTGGCCCACGCCCGCTGGCCCCACGCTCGTCGACCCTGTGCTCGCCGGCCTTGCGCCCGCTGGCCCCACATTCGCCGACCCTGCGCTCGCTGGCCCTGCGCTGACCGGCTCCCAAGCTCGCTGGCCCCTAGCTCGCTAGCTCCTCGCTAGCTGGTCCCTCGCACGCCGGCTCCTATCTTGCCGGCCCCTCATTAGCCGGCCTCGAGCTTGCCAGCCCCTCGCTCGCCGGCCCCTAGCTAGCCGGCCCCAGCTCGCCGGCCCCGGTTCTCGCCGGCCCCCTTGCTAGACGGCCCGTCGCTTGCCGGTCCCTTGCTCGCCGGCCCCAGTTTGTCACTGTACCACGGTGCCGCAGTGCCGCTGTCTCGCCGTGCCGCAGTGCTGCTGTGTTGCCGTGCTGCCGTACTGCTGTGCTGCCGTGGCACCGTGTTGCCGTGTGGCCGTGCAGCCGTGTCGCTGTGCCGCCGTGCCATCGTCCGCCACTGAGGTCGCGGGATGGTGGACGCCGTGCACTGCCTGGACGCGGAGGGTCGGGCGATCGAATTTGAGGCATGGCTCGTTGGCCTTCGCTATCAGTTGACAGGCCAGCGGCAGGACAGCTATTCCCTAGCTGTTCATGTCGACGGTAAGCTCCCCCACCCCGATGCGCATGCTGCCCTCCCTGATGCCCCCACCACTACTGAGCACGAGGCATTTGCCGCTGCTTAGCTTGCTCGTGTTCTCTGGAAGTCGTGCGACGCCGTAGCGCAGCTTGCTATTAGTTACACTCTCCCCCTGTGTAAGCGTCCCTGCTTTACGACCGTAGCGAATGCGAAGGAATAATTAGATGCAGTCCTTGCATGCTATTCCACTCCTTCCTCCACCTCTGCCGGCCGCCTGATCCTCCCCATGCTATTCCCTGATCTTGCGTCCTTCCCCACTGCCGCTGACCTTGCTATCACCTCCGTGCACTTGAGACTAGCTACCGCGCCGCTAACACTGAGGCACAGCTCACTGCCTTCCCACCGCCGCTTTGCGCTACCCTTTACCAAATTTCCACGCGCCTTCCTGACTGCCTATCCACTACCCTCGACCACTTCCTTAGTCAGCACCCAAGTGACCTCACCCTTCCTGCCTTAGTTACCGCCCTGTCGGCGATAGAGACCTGCCAGCGCACTATCGCTCAGTCTAGCGATACTTCGGCGGTCCCTATCTTCCAGGGCTGTGCTCCCTCCCAGCGCACTTACTCTGACGTTTTTTGCCACGGTCGCTGAGACAACCCCTGCTGCTAAGACCGTTGTCGCGGCCTCAGCGCAGCAGCGTCTGGGTAAGGGTCGCCTCCCCAAGGGGGGGCGTGGCAGAGGGAATGGTGGTGGGGGTGATGAGGTTGGGGCGGGGCCGGTGGTGTAGACTAGGGGACCGAGGCTGATGCCCCGGAGCGGTAGCAGCAGCAGCAGCCGCCGTGGGGACACCCGCCGCCGTGGTGGCCTGGCGGCGCTGGTGGTGGTGGGTCGCAAAGCTCAGTGTCGGGTGGAGGCTTCAGTGTGGCCACCTACCAGCTTCAGTTTGGCCCCCGCCGCAGCACCATCTGGGGCCGTCCCGGTCACACTGCCGCCCGCTGCTACCGCCACCTCGACGACCTCTTCCGTCTCCGCTTTGGCCCCTGACTGGTACACCCTGGTGCGTCACCGTATCCATATCTTTGAGCTTGACATGGATCAGATTAGGTCTGCTATGTATGTCATGTATGCTGATGACTCTAGTGTGACTGGACTCTATTAACCAGTGTTGCCTAGTGTAGGTGTGTACACTGTGTGTAGTCTAGGTTCCCCTGCTGCGTTAGGCGTAGGACCACCTGCCTTGTTTAGCCTCGGCTCCACTCTAGCTCCTCCGCCTGCGGCCACTACCGCCACGCTCTCGTTCACGCAAGACTCTGGTGCATCCGTCTGGTTTTTTCGTGACCACACTGCACTCACGCCGCTTGCTGCCCCTGCCGTTGTAGCGCTTGCTGACCCCTCCTCAGGTCCGGTAGTTGTCCGTAGCTCCACTACCCTACCCTGTTTGGCGGTTCCCTCGGGCTCTCTTACAGGTCTGTCTTCAGGACCTTGGTGTCACCACTACGTTCCGTGGACACAAGCGGTACGCAGTCTGTACCGAGGCTGCCACTGGTGCCCCTTTCACCACATTCCCCCAGGACCTCGTGTTTGGCCTGTTCACCCCAGACACTGCGTCCCCCCAAGTGGGAGCGTCCCCCTAGGTCGTCGCGTCCTCTTAGGTTGCCGCGGCTTGCTCATGTCGGTCGCTCACCCACCCGTCGCTGCTGTGGCATCACCGTCTAGGTCACCCTGCTCTCCCGCGGCGTCACATGTCCCATTACGGTCTTGTCTTCGATCTCCCTGCGTCGCTCCCCACCCTCCCTCCCTCGCTCGCGCTGCCGTGCACGCTTTGCGTCGAGGGCTTGTTGCACCCTGCCCTTCACTCCTCCTCGCTTCCCCCTACCACTACGCCACTCCAGACCCTGCACCTGGACGTTTGGGGCCCAGCCCCCGTTCTTGGGCCGCGTCGAGAGCGCTACTTTCTAGTGCTTGTCGACGACTACACGCGCTACACTACGGTGTTTTCATAGGAGCGGAAGGCCGACGTGCCTGACATTCTTATCCCGTGGGTCGTAGCTGTGCGAGTCCTCCGCGGCCTCCTTGTGCTGAGTCTCCACTCTGACAGTGGCGGCGAGTTCGCCTCCGGTCGGCTTGGCCAGTTCTGTCGTGCGGAGGGCATCACCCAGTCGTACATCTTGCCAGACTCCCCGCAGCAGATTGGGGTTGCTGAGCGACGCATCGGTTTGGTCATAGAGGTGGCTCGTATCTCCATGATCCATACCGATGCACCCCATTTTCTGTGGTCGTTCGCTGTTCACTACGCTGTTCTCCAGCTTACCCTATGCCCACACTCCCAGCGGCCGTAGGTTTCGCTGACCCTTCTCTGGACCGGGTTCCCTGGTGACGCGTTTGCGTTCCGCATCTGGGGCTGTCTTGCTCACGTTCGTGCCTCTGGCATGGACAAGCTCATTGCCCGCACTGTCCCTTGTGTCTTCACCCCGGTGTCTCCTCATCCGCCGCCGCAGCAGTAGCCGCCATCAAAGCCGCAACAATAGCTGTCGTCATCGCCATCATAGGCGCAACAGCAGCCACCGTCCCCACCGCCGCAGGGGTCCGCGAGCTCCGGGGGTGCGGGCGTTGAGGACGGTGCTAGTTCTGGGGTACTGTCGTGGCTTGTCCCGGTGGTCCTGGGGGTGGCACCGGTGCTGGAGAGGGTTCTTGTTCTGGGGGTGCTGTCGTGGAGAATCCTGAAGGTACTGTAGCCGTGCTACAGCTGGAGGTTCAGGTGTCCGTGTGGCGCAGCAGCAGCAGTCGTCGCCTGTCTCCGCCCTTTGCCTCCTCGGTCTTCCCTCTCCCAACCGCCCGCTTGTGCATTCCCCGCCTGTCTACGGCCCCGTGTTTCCTCCCTGTAACCCGTCTCTTGCTCGTTTCCCCCCTTTTTCTCCTCCTGTGTCTCCTCCTGTGTCTCCTGACCTGACGCCTCCGTCCCACTTCTGGTCTCGCCATCCCTTTCGTGCTCGTCCTGTCTCTCCTGTCCAGCGCTCTCACCCTATGTGGCTTCTTTCCCACACGTCTCGTCCTCCCCTCCTCCCGTCGCCTCCTCCGTCGTCACTGGTTGTCACTCCGCCTCACTTGCCTGACTTCCTCCGTGCTGCTACTCCTCTTGTTCCTCGGGTCCTTGCCTCCCTCGTTACCGACCCGTCCATTGTTGTCTCCAGCCTTGACGCTCTTGTCGCTGCCGTCACTGACTTTGCCTCCACCCATCGCCTTGACTACGGCACCGCTCTGGTCTCTGACCCTGCCCGTCCTCCGTCCGTCGGGGGTGCTCCTGCCCTTGGCAGTGACGTAGGCTTCCTCTCCTGCCTAGGAGTAACTCTATTCTAGGGGTGGGCACTTGGAGGGGAGGTTGTGGGTAGTGGGAAAAATAAGGGTTGCAAAAAACTCCATTCGGATTTTCCAGGGTCGCCTTGAGACCTTTCCGGATTTTGTCAGGGCTGGATAAAATGGAACGCGGAGAAAATCAGGCTAGTACAAAATCACGCGAATTTCAGTTAAGTTAGGGCGAATGCCCTGATAACATATGCCCTCAGTAGGCCTCCTCTCTCGCCTTGTAGGCCTCCTCTCTCACCCGGTAGGCATCCTCTATCCCCCGGTAGGCCTCCTCTCTCGCCTTGTAGGCATCCTCGCTCCCCTGGTAGGCCTCCTCTCTTGCCCGGTAGGCCTCCTCTCTTGCCCAGTAGGACTCCTCTCTTGCCCGGTATGCCTCCTCTCTCACCCGGAAGGCCTGCTCTCTCGCCCGATAGGCCTCCTCTCTCGCTCGGTAGGCCTCCTCTCTCCCCCGGTAGGCCTCCTCTTTCGTCCAGTAGACCTCCTCTTTCGCACTGTAGGCAGCTCTCTCCCCTGGGAGGCCTCCTCTCTCCCCCGGTAGGCCTCCTCTCTCCCCTGGTAGGACTCCTCTCTCGCCCAGTGGGCCTCCATTCTCGCCCGGTAGGCCTCCCCTCTCCCCTAGAAGGCCTCCTCTCTCGCCTGGTACGCCTCCACTCTCGCCCGGCAGGGCTCCTTTCTAGCCCGGTATGCCTCCTGTCTCGCCCGGTAGGCCTCCTGTCTTCCCCGGCAGGCCTCCTCTCTCCCCCGGTAGGCCTCCTCTCTCGCCCGGTGGGCCTCCACTGTTGCTGGGTAGGCCTCCCCACTCCCCTAGGCAGGCCTCCTCTCTCTCTCAGTAGGCCTCCTTTCTCCCCCGGCAGGCCTCCTCTCGCCCTTGGTAGGCCTCCTCTCTCGCCCGGTAGGCCTCCTCTCTCCCACAGTAGGTCTGCTTGTGAGAAACTCAAGTGATGATTGTATTAGGGAAAGCGTGGGTATACATAGGTGAGGAGTAGGAGGGAGGGGGGGTTTTGGTTGGGAGGTGACCACGATTATTGGTGACCCCAATAAGTTGAGTTGGCCAACTTATTGGGGGTCCAAAGATCCTAGCCAAGATTATTGGTGGGTCCAATAATCTTGGTTGGGAGTATTGGGGGTTCCAATAATTGGGAGCCCAACCAATTTGGGAACCCAACAAGGTTGGGAACCCAACCCCCAACTTGGGTGTATACACCCTAATGGGGTGCTTATAAGTACCTAAGACAATGAAATGATGTAGGCTAATAGAATGAAGGGAGAATATTCTAACACAACCCCTTAGCCTACATAGTGCCATAAGTCTTGGGAAGGTGAGGAGAAGCAACCCCTGAATCAGGTAGTCCCCTGTGAGGGAGGGGCAAGACCCAGAAGGCGAAGGAGAGCCGCATGGGGACGATGAGGGAGGGCCTTGGTGAAGATGTCTGCAAGGTTGGCTGAAGAGTCAATCTTGCGCACGATGAGGTGTCCAGCCTGGACGAGTTTACGAACGAAGTAGTGTCGGAGCTCGATGTGTTTGGAGCAACCATGGAAAACGGCTTCCTTTGTGAGGTGGATAGTACTGGCATTGTCGCACCAGATGGTGGGACAGGGCTGGGGAGCATCCAACTCAGCGAGGAGGAAGCTGAGCCACCGCGCCTCCTGGGCCGCCATGGTGACGGCGTAGAGCTCTGCTTCACAGGAGGAGAGAGCGATTGAGGAGGAGCAGGTGGAGCGCCAGGAAATGAGGCCGCTCCCGAGAGAGAAACCATACCCCTGTGAGCTACGACGATCGGGCTGAGAATCCGCCCAAGAGGAGTCGCTATAGCCGGTGAGCTGAGGAGGGGTGGGGCCACCCAAGGTGAGGACATAGTCCTTGGTGCCTTTGATGTAGCGGAGAACGCGCTTGGCCGCTTGCCAGTGCTCGGGAGTGTGTTTGCCAGCACCGACAAAGCGCGCCAAGACACTGATAGGGTAGGCGAGGTCGGGGCGAGTGCACATCATGGCGTACATCAGGGACCCGACCAGCTCAGCGTAAGGACTGGTGGAGGAACCGTGGGTGGATGTCGACGAGAGCTGGTGGCCAACTTGGAGGGGTGTGGAGACGGGTTTGGCCGTGGCCATCTCGAAGCGTTCAAGGACCTTCTTGAGGTAGAATGCCTGAGAGAGGGAGATGGTCCTGGCCGCACGATCGTGAGAAATCTCCATCCCGAGGTAGTTGCGGACCTCCCCCAGGTCCTTGCAGAGGAGGCGCTTCTGCAGCTCATCTTTGACCTGTTGTAGGTCTGCTTCGTTGTCAGCGGCAAGAAGCATGTCGTCGACGTAGACGAGGATGTAGAAGGGGGAGGGGGAGGTGCGCAGGAAGAGGCAGGAGGAAGCCTGGGAAGGGCGAAAACCAAGAGCACGGAGAGTGCTCGAGAGCTTGGCATGCCATTCACGAGGAGCTTGCTTGAGGCCGTAGACCGGGCGGCGAAGTTCCCAAACGGTCTTGGGAGGGAAAGGGAGGTGCCAGCCCTCGGGACGCTCCATGAAGATGCGCTCATGGAGTTCACCTTGGAGAAATGCCGTGGTGACATCCATCGAGTGCAGGATCATGCCGCGCCGGCCGACGAAGTCCAAGAACACGCGGACGACAGGGGGAGTGGCGGTCGGCGAGTAGGTGTCAAGGAAGTCATGGCCGTACCGTTGCGTGAATCCTTTGGCGCAGTAGCGGGCCTTATAGATCGGGTCATCGCCAGGGAGGAGCTTGACCCGAAATACCCATTTGCCCTCGACCACGTTGTGGTTGAGAGGGCGGGGTACGTCGATGAAGGTGCCGTTGCGGACAAAAGCTTCATTCTCTTTGAGGACTGCCTTGCCCCAATGAGGGTGGTCGGGGCATGTCATAGCTTCGTGATAATCTCCCGGCTCGAAGATGATGGGCGCGCCGGAGAAGACAAGTACCGGGGCGCCGGTCATGCTGAAGGCGACTGCTTGGGTGTTGGAGAAGAGGTGGAGGCGAAGAAATTCACCATGGGAGTCTTCGATGAGGAGGGGAGAGAAAGGAGGAGGAGAGGAGGGTGGTGTTGCAAGTCTGCTGCGCTGCTGAGGGGGGAGGCTGCGACACGGCGACTCTGCGACTCGGCTGCAGGGCTGCTTGACCGGGGCCACTGCTGCGGCGGATCCTGACGCTGCGGGTGCAGCGACCGGGGCAGGCACAGGTGCGGCGGCGGGAGCTGCTGCGGCGGGTGCAGAGGTGGAAGCAGAGGGTGCTGGAGCGGGTGCCTTTGCCTGAGGGGAGGGAGGGGCTAAGGGTGGACCAAATAGGGGATCCATGGACCGAGTATGAGGGCGGTGGCGAAGGACAAAGGGAGAAGACACCTGGGAGGGTGGAGGAGGAGGCGGGGGAGATGGGGGAGGAAGGGGGAAGGAGGTGGGGAGAAGGGGGAGGATGGAGCAGAAGCGGAGTGAGAGGGAGAGGGGGGGAGTACTGGGTCAAGGATGTCACCTGAGGAAGATGAGGAGGGAGCAGATTCGGGAGGAGGAGGTGCTGGGGGTGGGGGAATAAGAGGGAGAGGGGGGAGGAGGGGGGGGGTGACAGTGTCAGAGGGGATGAAGGGGCGAGGAGGAATGGTGAGTGGGTCAAGTGAGGTAGGAGAGGTGTAGTACGGGGAGGATTCGTCAAAGATGACGTCCCGACTACGAATGAGGCGACCTGAGGGGGGATGAAGGAACAGGTAGTCAGGGGAGGAGGTGTTGTGACCAAGGAATACACAGGGTAGACTCTTGGAGGCGAGCTTCCCTGCTGTGCGTGAGCGGTCGGCCGGGTGTATGAGAACATACGCCCTGGAACCCCAAACGCGCAGGGGGGAGACGTCGGGTTTAGTTGACGTCCACAACTCGGTGGGGGTGGTGGAGGGGAGGAGAGGGTGGGGATACAGGTTAGTGAGGAGGACGGCGTGGAGAAGAGCATAACCCCAGAGAGAAGGCGGGCAGGAGGCGTGAACGAGAAGACATCTGGTGGTCTTTGTAACTTCTCGAACACGAGCTTCTGCCACGCCATTCTGCTGAGGGGAGTGAGGGAGGGTGTAAGTGTGGTGAAAACCATGGGTGGAGAAATAGGAAGAGAGATGGTGATTGAGGAATTCACCGCCGCCATCAGAATGGAAGCGGCGAACGAGACGACCGAAGTGGGTGCGCGCCTGCTCGGCCCAGGCGATGATGAAGGCCGGTGCCTCGGCCTTCGTGCGAAGGAGGGAGACCGAGGTGTATCGTGAGCGGTCATCGACCAGGACGAGGAGGTAGCAGTGCCCTTGACGGGTGGGGGAGGGGTTGGGGCCCCAGAGATCCATGTGGATAAGATCCAGGAGCTCTAGGGCGCAAGAAGGGTGACTTTTATGAGGAAGCTGCTTGAGCTTGCTCTGGACACAGATGGTGCAAGGGGGGGCAGGGGAGGGAGGGAGTGGAGGGAGAGTGAGGGGAAGGCCATTGAGGAGCCCGGAGGCGACGACCTTGTGGAGGGTGGCAAAGTTGGGGTGACCTAGGCGGTGGTGGAGGAGGATGGCAGGATGCGTAAGATCACGACAATGGCACTGAGATGGGGGGGGAGCAGGAGGGGCGGGAGGGGAGGTGGGGGGAGGTTGCGGAGGAAAGAGAGGAGGGGGGAGGGGAGGGATGGTGGAGGCAGTGTGACAGGCTGACGGACGGGGAGTGTGAAGGGTGTACATGCGAGTGCGAGGACACATGGGAACACGGACGATGAAATGACCCGTGGAGGAGTGAAACAGGTCGCAGTGGGTGGCGTGGTCAGGGTAGATTGTTGTGACCCCGGCCCGTTGAAGTGCACCTTGGGAGACAAGGTTAGTGCGAAGGGAGGTGACATGGAAGCCAGATACTGAACCTGAGGGGAAGAGGGGGCAGGGAAGAGTGGAGGTATGGCGGGAGGTGACCGACAAAATAGAATTGGCTCCAATGATGGTGGAGGGGTTAGGGAGGGGGGTGAGGGCACCAGCGTCACGAAGGACTGTGACACTGGCGCCGCTGTCAATGACAAACTCAATGGAAGGAGGGGTGGGGTGAGATACGGAGTACTGGAAGGAGGTTTCATTAATAGACTCGGGATACATTGGAGGAATAGCAGGAGAAGCATGGCTAACATGGGGTCCAGTGGGGGCCTGCGCAAGAGGAGCAGGAGCAGAGAGGCCGGAGCTCCAGGCGGAGGGAGGGGAGGGTTGCTCCTGAGACTGCTGGTGCTGCTGAGATTGTTGCAGCTGCTGGAGGAGCTGCTGCAGGAGCTACTGCGGCTGCTGGATCTGCTGCGGCTGCTGAGTCTGCAGCGGCTGCGGGGACGGAAGGAGGGGCGTGACCTGCTGGAGGATCTGTGGAGGGAGGTGCTGTGCAAGGATGTGGTGGAGAGAGGTAGAGGAGGGCTGATAGGCGGGGAGGGTACGAACATCAAAGGGAGTGGGAGGTGAAGTGATAGCGGACCAGCGAGGGGGCGTGCCCGTGTTGCCTCGATCAAGCCACTTATCAGTGAGGGCCTTGAAACATGTGGTGGTGGCATGGGTGGTTTGGAGGCAGCGCTTACCCTTGTTGGGGCCGTTGCGGATGAGATACTGACACGGGGAGAATCCGCCGGTGCTGTTGGAACCACTGCTACCCCCGCGTCCTCCACTGCGCCCCCCGCCACGTCCACCACCCGATCGTCCCGCCGAAGTACCGCCACGGCCACCTCCTCTCGTGCTTGGAAGGCCTCTTCTGTTACCGGGTAGGCCTCCTCTCTCCTCGGGTAGCCCTCCTCTCTCCCTCGGTAGGCCTCCTCCCTCCTGCAGTTGGCCTCCTCTCTCCCCTAGCAGGCTTCCACTCTCGCCCCGTAGGCCTCCTCTCTCCCACAGTAGGCCTGCTCTCTCTCTCTCTGGTAGGCCTTCTCTCTCCCCCGGTAGGCCTCTTCTCTCGCCCGGTACGCCTCCTCTCTCCCCCTGTAGGCCTCCTCTCTCGCCCTGTAGGCCTCCTCTCTCGCCCTGTAGGCCTCCGCTCTCGCCCGGCAGGCCTCCTCTCTCGCCCGGTAGGCTTCCTCTCTCCCCCAGATTTCAGGCCATTTACCTTGATGCAAGGTTTTTTTCAAGGATTTTTCTGGTACCAACCCTGAATGTTCAGGATTTTTTCAAACCCATCTCTTAATTTTCAGGATTTTTTGTGTAGTATAACCCTGATGCCCCAGCGTTGCTCCAGGGGTATGTCAAAGACTCATCGACTATCCATTGAGTTAAAAGGGCTTGTTAATAGCGGGTCAGTGCGCCCATAGCCTCCTAGGCTCTACACATGTGGCCCTTCCCCGAGGATCTTCTTAAGGGTAACCCCACCAGGTCACTCGACACCCCCCGTCTCGAGGATATGTGGAAACACGAATGCCTCTACAGCACTAGCACTGGGAGTTAAACCCGAGTCACCAACGCTCTGATACCATATAAGAAACTCAGCCACTAACCACTGAGTTAATAGGGCTTGTTAATAGTGGGTCAGTGCGACCATAGCCCCCAACGCTCTGCATCTGTGGCCCTTCCCCGAGGATCGTCTCAAGGGTAATCCCAGCGGGTCACTCGACAGGGTAGACCCTGAATCTCGCAATACCTATACCGTGGTTAGGGGCGCGTGCTGCTGACATTTCCGAGGTTCTGTGTGCTGCCTGTTCCTTAGACTGTGTGAGGGCGCTGGCTCGACTTGTGCTGGGGGCTGTGTGAGAGCAATTGTTGGCCCTTCACCTAATTTAGGGCCCGATTTGTGTGCCTTGGAGCTTTGTGGGGGCGGGATTCCCCTCCGCCCCTACAATTCCTCTTCCCCCCCCCCCATCCCCCCCCCCCAACACTCACAGACCCACCCACACACACGCACACACACACACACATACACACACATACACACACACACACCCCCCCCCCCCACACACACACCCACATACACACACATACACACCCAGACACACACACACACACACACATACACTGAGGGAAAAAACCGTCCGGATGTTTGGCACGAAGTTGGGTTTTTAGGCTTTAAGACTACTGTATGGTAAATTTGCAAGATGCATGGTGGTACGCGTTGGGAGAGGCACAAAGTGGATGCGTTCACAGCACTAAGAACTAGAATAGTACATTGGATCCAACTCATATTCCAAAAGATATACAACGAGTACATCCGGACAGTTTTTTCCCAGGACAAAGAGCAAACTTCCGAACAACGTTTCTAGTACCTAGTCCACCTACTCTTGGCGTTGATCACCATCCGCACCCTCCTAGGCATGTTATCTATGGGGTTAGTGCAGACCTTTGCATGAAGCTTCTCGCACTCTTCCTGGACCCACCATTTTGCATAAGGGGGTGAGCACAAGGAAAATTGCAAAGTATTTGAGCGTATGCATAAGTATTGTACACAAATTCTGAATGAATGTTATCTCAGAGACTAGCCAAGCCGAGGGGTGGCCAAAGATGCCATTAGTTAAATGGTCCCGGCTTATCATGGGTCGTCTTCGTTGTATCGTTCTAGGGTAAAATCACGAATAGAGTGGCAAAATCTAGCATTCCCGCCACGAATCTTAGGGTAACAGAGCACGGTCGACTGAACATCCTTTCACTGTGTGAACCATGTTAAAATCCGCGGGTCTAGTGACGGGGCAGCAGTCGAAGAAACCTCGACTGTTTGGGAAGAATATCTGGATTGAGGTCTGGTGAGAAAAAGGGTCACTCCAGCGCAACATACTTATGCTCTCCAAGGCATTCCATGTCATTTTCCCTGCCTAGGCTTGGAATGGCTCGGAGAGCATGGATATGTAGCTCTGGAGTGCCCCTCTTCCTCACCAGACCTCAACCCTGATATTCTTCCCAAACAGTCGAGACTTCTTCAACTGATGCACTGTCACTAGACTCGCGGATTTTAACATGATTCTAACAATGAAAGGATGCTC